AAGACCCAAAGTACGAATAGTGAGTCACGTTTCTAAACAATCGCATTAATGACTGCATTCAAAGGGAATGAACGTGACTTACTTGTTTCCATCGAGATACTTCACCGACGTCTGGAAGTAATCCTGCGTCGCAGCCAAAGATGAAAAGTCCAACGCAAATTCAGTAACCCAGATCTTCTTCCCTGGGAAGACATCCAGCACACCAGCTATGTGGCTCGCCATGCCATCAAAGCTTCCGTACCAATGTATAGGGACAAAGTCAAATGTGCAATTTCCCTTACAAGCTTCTACAAAGTCCGCCAGCCACGTAAACCCCGAAGGAGCTCCCGTCACCGCCGGCGCACCAAGCGAGACGCCTAGTTTTCTCAGCGGCTCGAGCTGCTTGATCCAGTACTTGGCTGCGTCTTTTGGCTTCATGTCACTCCCGCCGTTGGCCATTGAGTTGTCCGGCTCGTTGAAGCCCATGACATACGTGACGTTTCGACCACCGATGATTTGCGCCGTGACGTTTTCGAGAAAGGAGGTGTCATCGAAGCCATCGGGGGCTCCCCAGAGCATGGGGACGAACTGGAAGGAGGTGTTGTTCTCGTAGACAGGGCTGGGGTACGGTTTGTAGTTGTAGTACCATGTTAGGTCGGAGTGTTTTTGGACCCAGACTTTGTCGTCGCTGGGGAAGTCGGAGTTGGGGATGTAGATGAGGCCGCGCTTTGAGGAGGGGTAGAAGTTTTTGGATATAGCGAGGCATGAAGTTGTGAAGAGGGCCAGGGCCACGAGTGAGGATTGTATGAGCATCATTCTTGGTGGAAGATCAGCGATGGACGACGTTTGGGAAATGGATAGAGCGAGAGGTCCTTAGCAAGATGTGCAGAGGTAACGGGACATTGCTTTCTGCGGATGGTTACGTTGCTTGGGCTGCCATGTTCCAACTGCCGATAAGTCTGTCTTTGTGAATGTACAGCATGATCCCACGCGTAAGTTCAGGTCGTTGCTGTTTGCGGCATTCAAAGTGTGATATTTTCAGACCAACATCTGTTTACTGAGAATGATCCGAATCGTCGCTCTCGTAGCCCTGACTCGCGCACTCAAAACAAATACAGCAAGGGTGAAAAAGTCGGGCCGCTCACATTCAGTTCGGCCATAAAAAGGCGGGGCATCGTGTAATATGATTGGTCAATTGCGCAATAGTGCCGTGCTTAGCTGTTGCATTGATTGAGATGCATGCCATCTAGTACCTTGCATTGTGAGAACTGATCCTCGATACCGATACTTATTGCCGATCTTAGAGATGGGATGATTCCTCGTCGGATGGTTTTGGGTGCTGGAATGTGATATCTCCCCTGCCAGGGAAGTGGTCCGGCTCCGTCGGCCGAAAGGCTCAATTGTCCGCTTTTAGGCTATTGAGATGAGTCTTGGGGTCTGGTGACATGTCGTTGGTCTGTGGTCTGAGTGTATTTCGTTTGTGGCGCAGACTACGGGGATTTTTACCAAGTCACTACCCCACGTTGAATCTGATGGCGTTTTATGTTGGTTATTTTGACTCAGTTAGGTCTATAGGTTAATGCCCAATATACTACATTATTTTTCTTAAAAAGCAATAGACTCTGCTCCTACAATTTACTCAAGTTCCACTCTTAACCGTTGCAACATCAGTGGAATTCTCCTTCTCCAAATCTGTATGTTATGTCCGCTGCAAGCATGACTCGAATAGCGGGGGCTCACTCCCGCGGGTACCCGCTGACGTATCCTGTGTAGGTACGGAAGAGGCGTTATCAGGAACAAGTTGCCGTAGTGGACACGGCGAGATAAACGGTTGCCATAAGCGAAGCAGGGTTTTTAATTGGCGTTTTGCCTCTCTAGGTCAAGCGTCGACGTCGCCAAGTTTTTGACATATGCACTCTATTCCTCCAGATGAGCGTAATCCGCTTTGGATGCTACATCGCTTAGCAGAACCGAAGTGTCTTGACGAAATAATCGAGGGTGCCCGCAGGCTAATAGATAGCCTCAATATACCGAGGTTCTCAGTCATGGACTTTTGTTCTGGAGTTAGTTGTGGGGGTTTGTTGGTTCGGTCTTGTCAAGAAGTACCTCTCAGTCTGTTCGATCAAGGAATGTCAGAATTTTCAAGGAGGGGGGTGTACTTGGGTTTGAATAGTTGTAATCTATCCTTGTTTTTGAAGATTGAATGTTATGAATCGCAATGCTGGTACTGTAGAAGTTTGCTAATTGTAGTGGGTTCTAAGCTCTTAATTCTTATATTGTTGGCGATCAGTTATAATTATGCTGCCCGTAATGCCAAGTAAATCTAGCACATCTAGCGCTTTGCCTTGCCAATCCTGTCTCGGGCAGTAGACTGGATATCACCAGCCTCTACCACAATGTCGTTGGGGTGTAACAGCACTGCAATTAGATCCTCTGGATCATATCTGGCCTCTACTAGTCATGCAAACTCAACAGAAGACTTGGTCAGGCCGAGCCTCGCAGCTCAAAGTTCAACTGAGTCCTCTCTCAAGAAGAGATTCCCCCCTCGTCCATATTTCCATTCTCGCCGGGTTAAGAAGGGCACTGTCGAGAGACCATACCTTGCTGTCAAGGACCCTCGAGGCATATGGATTACGATCATCCCTGCGCTGGGCATCCTTGTCGGACTTGCTGCCATAGCGCTTCTAACATGGAGTGGCTATAAGTCAGTTGATAAACATAAATACTGCACGGTATTTACAGATGATTTTTCCAATGGATTCAATTCTACAATATGGAACAAGCAGGTAGAGGTCGGAGGATACGGGTACGTTGAAACTCCCCATCTCACATTGCTGAATGCTAATAAGAGTCGATTCTAGAAATGGCGAGTTTGAACTGACGACAGACACGGATGAGAACGTCTTCGTCCGCGACGGCCAACTCATCATCAAACCCACCCTCCAAACCGACAAATTCCTCTCGGAAACAACAAAGATAAACCTCACTGCTCAAGGGACTTGTTCCGCCACGACAACCCAAGACTGCGTTCAAGTCGCAAACCTCACCGCGGGAGAAATCGTCGCGCCCGTCAAGTCCGGCAGGATCACAACCAAGAACTTCGGCGTCATCCGCTACGGCCGCGTCGAGATCGTCGCCAAGCTCGCAGCGGGAGATTGGCTCCTCTCGCAGCTCATGATGTTCCCAGCCAAGGACTACTACGGCGCGTGGCCTGCCTCTGGCGAGATTGATATCGGGATGGTGCGGGGCAATAATTACACTTATGACAATGGGCGCGGGAACCAGCAGGTGTCGACTCAGCTACACTGGGGTCTTGATACAGGCACTGATCGATGGCAGAGCACTTCTGGGGCAAGAAATACGCTGCGAACGACCTTTCATAAAGACTTTCATACTTTTGGACTGGAGTGGTCGAATAAGTATCTCTTTACGTGGCTCGACCATCGCATCGCACAGGTCACGTACGTCAAGTTCAATCACCCGTTCTACCAGCACGGTGGCTTTCACCAAGCTCTCACCAACGGGTCTCAGATCTCAAATCCTTGGACTGGCCCGGGAACCAGCAATGCGACGCCCTTTGATCGACCATTCTACCTGATCATCGCGCTGGCTGTTGGGGGAACGTCGGGCTGGTTCCCGGATGATGTGCACGGTAAGCCCTGGGTGAACGATGCCATCACCCCGAAGACGGATTTCTGGAACGCGAAGGATCAGTGGTATCCGACATGGGAGAAGAATAATGGGGGGGAGATGGTGATTAAGAGGGTTTCTATGTGGCAGCAGTGTGATCGCGCTGCCACTGATTTATCGCAGTTTTCATCGAGTTAGATAAATACCCGGTAATGCGATAATTTCATAACTATCACTACATCTTATTCCATCACTGTGCTTCTCAGAAGTCTGGTCGCTGATCTTATATGTATTGGTATAGTACACCAGATGCGGCAATCTCGCGCAAGGTGTCAGGTTTAAAAGAGCTGGATGGTGAACCAAGGCCCACTTTATTGGCGAATCGCTTCTGATAGGCTACAGGAAAATCATGAGTTTACCGGGTTAATAATTTACCGACATTTGCTCCAGAAATCACGGACTGTGAAATGATACAGGGTAGCTTATGGAAAATCCAGGACCAGACTGGTCAGTAAGCCATTCTAGTGATAATAATACGGCCTACCGGGGAAATAAAGAACGGCCTGTAAACTGGTAAATTGCTAGGAAAAAGCGTAAGATGGTGAGTGTGTGGTCTTGATTTAATAGCTCACTCTATGCTACGTTACCATTTGGGGTATCAATTATCACCTTGTTCCTTGATGCATACTGATAATCAAGCATGACTTTTGTTAACCCAACTGACACTTTTGACTTTTTAGAATTTCCAACAGATGTCAGATCGACATCTTGTTACGACGATCTTGAACTCTCATGGGATGAAGCCATCTAATTTCAGTTTCAGCTCCAACAATCCCAAGATACAAGTCAACTCATCTCCAGCTGATAAGATAAGCTTGTCCACAGGCCAATCGAGACTCTGGTGTGGCTGGCTGACATTCCAGCTACCATATCGATAGTCATTTCTGGCGTAAACAAGGGAGAGGCTCGCTAACGTAAATCAGCTAATCAGACAGCGATATTCGCCGCCACTCCAATACTTGCCGCTGTGATAAGCCAAATAGGGAATCAATCACCAATAGCCATACCCAAATCGGTGAAGGCGCGGGGTTGTCCCGTCGTTCCGTGCCGAGTTGAAGATCATTTCTGGAATTAAGTGGCATCAATAGCTCCTTTTGGCGTAAACTTGAGTGGCTAATCAGTCGATGCGAAAGGAAATAGACATCTTCTCGTTGGTCGAATGAACCGAGTGGCTGGCACTACTCAATCCCACGAGTTCACAACGTGGTCAGCGTAGCTATGCTACTTCGATCAGTATCTAAGCATAATTAGTCTTGGCTCCCCTATTGAATGCTCCCTTGATCAATCGCTCTCGTCTTCTCAGAGGTAACACACTGAGGCCTCAATAAAAAATGAAGTCGACGAATTTCCTTGCAGGTGTTTTCGCTGCGCTTACTCAAGCTGCACCTACTGTCGACGAGACATACGAATACAATGGACCTGATATCCCCATCGGCGATTGGGTCGACCATACGATTAATGGTAATGGCATCGGTTTCATCCGTCTAGTCGAACCCCCAGCTGTATTACCTGGCTATGTCAATGCTACCAACAACGTCAATGTCATCTCACTGTCATATATACCTTCCCAGCATGGCGGGGATACCGTTGGCATCAATATCCATTATCAAACTCCCTTCGGTCTCGGTGTCGCTCCCTCAGTGTACTGGGGTCCCAGTGCTTCGTCTTTGGACGGCGTGGCTATCGGCTCAACAAGAACATACGACCGCACTCCTCCCTGCGCTCTCGTGCACATGACCCAATGCAGCCAATTCTTCCACAACGTGCAGATAGAACACCTTCAACCAGGCACAACCTATTTCTACCAAATCCCTGCTGCGAATGGTACCACTGAGTCGCCTGTTTTGAGCTTTACTACTGCCCAGGCTGTAGGCAATCCATCTAAATTCAGTATCGCTATCAACAATGATATGGGGTATACGAATGCGAATGGAACATACCACTACATCAACAGAAGTATGTATGATGAGGACGGGCTCGCCTTTGTCTGGCACGGCGGAGATCTCAGCTATGCGGATGACTGGTACTCTGGCATCGTACAGTGTAACTTCTCGGTTTGGCCCGTCTGTTACAACGGCAGCTTCAGTAGCTTGCCCAACAACGACACCAACCCCGATTACTTCAAAACACCTCTCCCGAAAGGCGAGATTCCAAGTCAAGGCAGTCCTCGTGGTGGCGATGTAGGCGTCCTCTACGAATCCAACTGGGATCTTTGGCAGCAGTGGATGAATAACATCACCATGAAGATCCCTTATATTGTTCTCCCTGGCAATCACGAGGCAACATGTGCCGACCATGATAACAAACCATTTCTCCTATCGTCATATCTCAACGAGAACAAAATGAACGCTTCAATGCATAGCGATAACCCCAACTCGACTCTGACATATTATTCATGTCCGCCTTCACAGCGCAATTTCACGGCTTTCCAGAACCGTTTCACTATGGCAGGTGACAAGTCCGGAGGCAAGGGGAATTTCTGGCATTCATTCGACTATGGCCTCGTTCATTTCGTATCTATCGATACAGAAACGGACTATGCTAACAGCCCCGACAAGACATTCCGTGAAGATGTCAAGAAAGCTAAGAAGGAGGAAGACTGCAAAGGCAAAGACAAGGGAAAGGCTAAGTGCGAACCTGAGAAGCCAGAACCGACCGGCTATCAGTGTACCAAAATCGAACTATGCGATGAGTTTGCGACGGATGACTTGGACGAAGAGACATATCTTGAGTCTGGGAAGGCTCATCCTTTGCGGAACGAGACGCATATCACAGATGCCGGTCCTTTTGGATACATTGACGGCTCCATCAAGGATAACAGAGCCTATGAGCAATATCACTGGTTGGCGGAGGATCTTGGCAAGGTTGATCGCTGTAAAACACCCTGGGTTGTCGTCATGGGTCATCGTCCCATGTACAGCTCTCACGACTCCAGCAACTATCATCTGCACCTTCGTGAGGCCTTTGAGGGGTTATTCTTGAAGAACAAGGTTGATTTGTACATCGCTGGGTAAGTCATCACGAACCTGTCAAGTATATCAGGCTAACTGATCACAGACATGTTCATTGGTATGAGCGTCTCAAGCCTATAAGGAATTGTGATGTCGACCATCGTGCGATTAAAAACGATAGCGAAAAGCATGGTGTTTACGAGGTGAGGCCTGGACACTCTATGGTTCATCTCATCAACGGCGCTGCGGGGAATATCGAAAGCCACGCTACCATTAACAAGTCCTGGCCTATACCCGACATAACAGCCCATCGGAATATCACTAGCTTTGGCTTTTCCAAGTTGACTGTTTTCAACGAATCAACTCTTTCTTGGAAGTTCATCCAGGGCCACGATGGTAAAGTCGGCGATGAACTCACGGTGCTGAAGAATGCGTCTTTGACTTGCAAGGACTACAAAACTTATAGGTCAACTAGCTCGTCCGGCTCGTCCGGTTCGTCTTGCGCTACTGAGTGCTCTGGATCTGGCGTTCTGGCCTGGCTCTACTGCAATGTCTATTGTGCCAGCTTTGGGGAACCACTCAAGGTTTAAAGCGGCTAATTGTACCTTGACATAGTCACAATTCATACATGAGATAATAGCCTTGTAAAGATGCTTTCTAGGTCTGATATTAGCTTTGCTATCAAGTGCTGTGAATGAATGGCTCATCTCATTGGTCCATGATAGTCCGATTGGGCTAGTGAAATGAATACTGGGTACTGTAGCTTACACTTTTCCAAGCAAAGCCTTAGTGCTCAAAGCTATTGATCTAAGCGCTACGATAACTGCACTATTGAATCGTAAACCCCTATCTGTTGCCCAAAATATGGGTTTCATCTATGAAAGGCAGATTCCCACTGCCGAGAATTGCCGTCGAACGCGTTGTGAGAATGGATATTTAATCTATTTATTTGACCCCAATGCTGTTGGTATTCTGGGACCTCCCTTCCTTGAATATCACGCCGAAGCCACGCTCATTAACTATCTCACCCAGTCACTCTTTTCTTTCATTCTTTCCTTATACCCCGGAACAGAACCTCGCAACTCACAAACGATGATCCACGGCAAATCACTCTTAGTGGCGTTGGCAGTCGCCTCGACCGTTGTCGCTAGTCCTTGCAAGCCCAGTACGACTAGCCCAGTCCTCAGTACCACTACGACGGCAATGGAAGAAACTTCTAGCGGTGAAACCTCTACCGCCAGTGGCACAACTATTATTGAGACTACCGTCATCGCCACCACTACAACGACAGAGCCCGACACCACTACAACTGGTGCTCTGACAACAACAACTGCGGAAGCTGATGTTACGACTACAACCACCGCCGCAGAGACAACCAGTACCGCCCCCTGCGCCGCGGCTCCAACGGCGTGTGGAATATACGGTTACTTCGTCGAAGGGAACACTTTGCAGTACCTAAGCAGCCCGGGAACAAAGGATAATGCCAAGGATTGCGTGCAGGCTTGCGCTGATTATCCTGACTGCGAGGTTGTTGACTTTTATAATGAAGCTACCAATGGATATGAAAAGGGGACTTGCGAGTTCTGGAAGGGTACTGTCAAGACTGATGGTGCGCAGTCCCCGTACCAGTGGTATCAAGTTTGTTGCCTGGCCAATATGTAATAGAGCTATGTAGTCGATTGCTGCCCTTGAGGGTACGCTTTACGCTGCCAATACAGGTGATAATTTAGACTTATAGAAGATAGATTCGTTGTGACTTTCTGGTAGCATGATGACATTTGTGAAGGCTAAATAGCGTTAATTCAGGTCACATGTGACAGCATCTTGCAGCACCTTTTTAGCAAATGAGATTTGCAGTGCTTTATAAGAAGAGATATAGTCATGGTGGCAATTACTTGGCGTGTACTCGAACATTCTGATAGTGATTTTGAAGCGGGCGGTTAATAGACTGAATTTGTCTGTTTTGTTTTATCTTGTCGAAATGTCCTATGTTTGTCAGCAGCACTCAGCGATGTCATTCAAGGTACGGATGAGTGAAGACTCAAGAATACAACGCTGTTCTGGTGAATCGACGACACCACATCCAATCCTTTCAGCAGCGAAAACTTTGTTCTCGCCCTTGCCATTGACAGCGTTCGACGACGACCCTTATTTGCCGGTAAAATATGCGGCAATACTTGCTGGTAATACCAGATGTAACATCATTTTATAGCACTCTTGAAAAAGTTGCCAGCGCTGGTAAGCTCAAAAGACCAGATAAATTACACAGAAATCCCAACTCTCTCTTGCGAATTACAGCTTGCTCTTTAGCCCCGCACTGGCAGCGAGAACAGCTCTCTGCTTCTCGCCTCCATGCTCAACCTTGACAGGGGCATCGAAAACCGTAGCATCAGGCTTCTCTTTTCTATTCTCGGTATCAACATACTCCCTCTCCCCCTCTCCAACATAAAGCTGTCTCGGCCTCCAGATCTTGACGCCCGACTTGTTCAACATCATCTGCCTCCAGTGCGCCAACCAGCCTACACATCTCGGGACCGCAAACAAAACAGGATAGAAATCAAGCGGGAATCCCATGGCCTGGTAGATCAGGCCGGAGTAAAAGTCCACGTTGGGGTATAGGTTCCTGCTGCGCATGAACTCGCTCTTGCGCGCGTAGTCGGCGAGCGTCAGGGCCGTGTCGAGGAGCTTGTTACGGCCGGTGACCTCGAAGACTTCCTCGGCGAGCTTACGAATGGCTGTTGAGCGGGGATCGACGTTTTTGTAGACGCGGTGGCCGAAGCCTACGAGGACGCGCTCCCTTCTCTCAACGGCCTGCATGAAGGCCGGGACATTCTCGGGGGATCCGATCTCGATAAGCATTCTGATGGCTGATTCGGAGGCTCCTCCGTGAGAAGGCCCGTAGAGTGCTGCGCATCCCGCAGAAACAACGCTGTAAGGATCGACCAGAGAACTTCCAACTTGCAGGACTGTGGCGGTGGAGCAGTTGACTTCGTGATCGGCATGGAGAATGAAGAGCTTGTCCAAAGCTTTGGCAAGAACAGGATGAGGTTGGTAGTCTGGCTCAGACAGGTTATCCAGGAGATAGAGGAAGTTTCCAGTGTATGACAAGCCTTGTGCAGGGCGATTAAAGGGTCGGCCCTGTCGCATTCTGTACGACGCAGCCGCCAAAGTAGGCGCCTTTCCGAGAATTCGAAGAATCTGCTTGTCCAGCATCTTCAGGGAATCCATGTTGCCCGAAGCAGCGTTGGTGTAGAGCTTCTGCCCTGCAAGCGAGGGATTCGCCTCCGGAGCAAACGCTCCGAGCGTAGCGAACGCCGCGCTCAACATGGACATTGGATGCGAGTCGTAGCGGAATGACTTGAACATGTTCTCGATATCGCTGTGAATATATGTGTGATGCATCACCTCTCCCTGCCATTCATCATACTGCGCCTTGGTGGGAAGGTCTCCGTAGATGAGAAGATACGCTGATTCGAGAAAATTGCTCTTCTCGACCAACTGCTCAATCGGATATCCGCGGTACCGAAGGACGCCATCTAGGCCGTTGATGTATGTGATTTTGCTCTGCACGACAGCGGTATTCATGTACGCGGGATCATACACCCTAAGACCCTGCGTAGTCTCATCCTCTGGGCGATCATTGCCAGCCTCGGCTTTGATCTTCTTGAATTCCGTCGCCGGGATGGAATTGTGAGTAATGGGGATCTCGTAGGTTTGGTTTGTTCTGTTATCCACGACCGTGAGCGTCTCGCGACGGCCTTTGTTCTGAGCTGAAACCATGATTAAGATAATACAAGATGAGGGAAAAGAGATGCAGTGATTATGTCGAGTTGACGAGGATAAGCAACGAGTCTCGATGATTTAAAACGATTTTCAGAAGCAAACGCGTCAATGACACGTCACGTGAACGCCTACCTCGGCATGACGATATAAGTGGAACGTGTAGAGACCTCGGCCCTAGTGGGTTTGGCGGCATTTGAGGCGGGAGTGGGACGACATCAGCGCTAACACCAGTGGCAGCGTTTTAGATTATTTTATGATACCGGTCAAGTCACTTCCGTCTCTGCGCCTGGGGAATGCTATCTACCCTACAAGTCTGACATGAGATATTGATCGAAACAGAATGAATTATTTTAAGACAAAAAGCTGTTTATTATTAAGTACTTCCGTTATCTAATCGCAAAAACCCCCAACATTGCTTGTTATTGCCGCCTTTTAATTCCAATGTTGACCTTCTTAAGCTTGCGTGTTGTTCCTTCCGTTGATTCTACTTTTGAGTCCGTCAAACAAAAATCATACCTCTTTATCAAAGTTGCCGCAATGATCTTCATCTCAACTTCTGCTAGGTTACGTCCGACGCATGCTGCCGGGCCTTGGCCAAAAGGGATAAAAGAAGTATTCTGGCGGTCTGACGGCTTCTCCCATCTCCCAGGTCGAAACTCATTGGCATCTTTACCCCATATATCTTTAGATCGGTGAATGGCATAGATTGGGACGCTCAGAACTGTGCCGGGAGGGAAGTAAAAAGAGTCTAACTGAATTCCCTTGGACCCGGGAAGCACCTCTCGAGGAAGACCGATCGCGAGGACGCTATGTAGACGCATTGTCTCGTTCAGCACAGCGTCTAGATATGGAAGAGCCCGAACACTCGTAAACGGCGCGACTGTTGCCGGCACATGTATACAGTCCAGCTCGGTTTGCAGCTTTTGCAGCGAAGAGGGTGAGGTGGCGAGGTAGTACATCATGGCGGAGAGCGTGTTGCTGACGGTCTCAATGGCTGCCATGAACAAGGTCAAGGACTCCGAAGCAATCTCTTCGAATTTGAGCAATTCCCCTTGGCCATCACGCGCTCGAAGTAACAGTGAGAGCCAATCATCATGATTGTCTTCTCCTGCAGCCATGCGCTCTTTGACATGAGTGGAAGTCACGCCCAGCAGGTTCTGCAGCCCATCCATTCCTCTGTGGAAGAAGGGATCAGGCAGGTTATGTGCATGGGGCTTTAGCCAAGGTAAAACACCAAGAGTCGCAACGGCGGCACTCCTTTGCGCGAGACTGTTCATCATAGACACGTAGGACCCGGGTTTGTTCTCAATCTTGACCAGATCAGAGCCATTCCTCAGCATCCCAAATGGCTCACTAAAGAGAAGATCGCCGGTGATGTCAAACGACAAGTACCTGGTAGCAAGATTAGTGTATGTCAGCCGAACAGTCTCGAAAGAATTTACGTGAACCATCGTCTGCATTCGAGGTGCGTGAACCCGTCAAACTGCGGCCCTTTGTCGATTATCTCGTCCCACTTGCGGACCAGAAGCTCCACTTTGTCGGCAATTGGCCCCTCGGCCGCACGAGACGACTTGGGGGCGAAGCTATGAGCGATGTATCTTCTCTTGCGAGCATGTTCGGCGCGATTCCTCGCCGTGAAGATGCTTCGAGTGAGGGAAATTGACGAATCGTACCAGGATCTTGATGAGGTGAGTATAGACATCAGAAAGATACGAATGTGCAGCTTACGACTTTTCCAACCCTTTTCCATGGCCGTAGACGAGCTGGATGGCCCTTTCGTCAACGATACTGACGTGGTTCGGCTGGA